ACAGGCTTGCCACTGAGAGTTCATCTTTAGGTGTAAAGTAGGCAAAGCTCTGCATACTGTAATCGATCAATTAATGATACAAATGAACAATTTGTAAATTGTCAGTGTCATATTTTTTAAATAGCCTTTGGCACAAGAGTAGAACTAACCCTTGCAATACTGCAGTCCACCACTGCATCTCTGACAATGTTCTGGTAGTTCAAAAAAACACTATTTAGGAAGGTATCAGGTGATGAAATGAACTGGTAATGGTGGCATTTATGTGTTTTTATGTCATGTTGCCATTTTTTTAAAAAATTTCCTCTGGATAGATCTGATAGTTTCTCGAATCTAAAAAGTTCCTGAAGTGGGGAATAGATCTCTGTCTTCCAAGAGGGATTGCAATAGGAAGCTTGTGTAGATGAGAAGCGAAAAGTTACTTCCACTGAAAATTTCCTTTCTGCTAAAATGGTGATTTGCCAGAGGCCACAGATCAGATTATCACCCACACAGTAAGAATAAACTTGGTTTAGGTTCAGTGCTTCAGAGAAGGGCACATTGCAGAACGAGATTCATTATTTGTGTATCGTTCTTTTCGGATATAATTATTAGTTGAATAATATTGGATAAATTGGGATAAATACCCTGAAATGGGTTAAATGCAGTGACCATAAAGTTTTCATTAAAATAGTACTGTAATATAACTGCAAATTTTGAAGGTACAAGTAAAGGTGAGCATCTCAAATGATGCAGCTTTATGAATGATTGTGCTGCTCCTGGAAAAGTGATTGCATGTGGGTGTGTCTAACCTGTGCCCAATGTTCACCTTTCCTCAGGACACATGGGAGGATATTCTTATTGGTGATGTGGAGATGAAAGGGACCGTATGTTGTGGCAGGTAAATGTTTGAGACCTTTAGTTTATACAGATGCAAAGAGGTTTATGATAAGAAGCTGTTACTGATTTTGCACTGTGTGTCTTTGCAGGTGTATTTTAACAACTGTTAACCCAGACACTGGAGTCTTGGACAGGAAGGAGCCTTTGGAGACATTGAAAAGGTTATAAAAATAGCAGTGTTTCTTAAGTTGTGGGAGAGGATTTAGGCTAGGTCCCAACATGTTAGACTAGTATTTTAGAACTGATTTGAAGTGTGTGGGGGACAGAATCATGCAGTGTAAGGGTCTGTGTATATTGGCTTCCAGTCTACTTTTTGCAGTATGCTAAGAAAATTCAAGTTCTCTCTTCAATCTTGCAAACTTTACATTTCATATCTCTTCCGTCTCTGCTAGGGTGAATGCTTGGGGTAACAGGTATTGAAGATATTTAAAGATCTAACTTTGCTACGTTGACTTTTATTTTTACAAAAATTTTTGTATATATATTAGACATAGATGGACGAATACAGTCAAGCTTTTTTTTTCCTCCATTTGAACTGTTTGATTCTCATAACTACAATATTTATTTAGTTTTTAGTCTAGTATGGTGACCAAAACAGGGCTTCATTATTCATATCCTCTCTTTCATCACTGATATTTTGATGTTTAGGTTTTGCTATCACTGATTCTAAAGAAGGGCTTTCTCTCTGCAGTTACCGCCTTTGTGATCCATCCGAGCGACACATCTACAAAACCAGCCCTCTCTTTGGGAAATACTTTGCTGTTGACAAAACTGGAACGATTCAAGTTGGAGACCCTGTGTACAAGATGATCTGGGAATGAAAGAGACTTTGATCAGAAGATGCTTTTTCTCCTTTGTACACAAATTGTTTCCCCGTGAACACAGTCACCAACATAACCTTTTCTTATTCCTTGCAATATTTTTAGTGCCATGTCCCTTTGTAAGGTGCAGGGGGGTCTATGAGGCTATGAAATGCCAGTCATTTCAGATCATGTAATCTACTAGCATTCCTGTAGCAACCACATCTTTAGTTTTTCTGGAGGCTGTGAGAGAAGAAACTGATCCAAGACAGACTTCACAGCACTACTGTGAGCATCACACCTCCTAAAATTTCATGTCAACCTTAATATTGGAATCTGAAATTACGTGCAAGGGTTTGCATCGTGTATTAGATACATTTAGTGCCTATAAAGAACCACAAAAACAGTCATGCCAAGCACAAAGTATGTTGGTCACAGAGCTGCCTTTACAAGTGAACATGGAGTGGAAATGGCAGGACTGTCTTGGATTCCACCCTTCTTTGGTCCTAATCATCTTACCCATCTGTAGGAATCTGATAATTATATTTTCTACTGCATAAAACAAATAGAGGAGGAAAGTATTTGGATTATGGCAGTATTATCTTTTCTTTAATTGTTACGTGATTTTTTTTCTTTTAAAAAGGAACTCCAAGATAAAAACCAGCCATCTTTCAAATGCTTATTTGTTTCAAAAGCTTGTTCCTTTGTTATGAATTACTAGATCTAGAAAGAGTGTTCCCCTAGCCAAAAGGAGGAATCTAATTAAGTGTGGAGAAGGGCAAATATGACCCAATTTGGTGTTTAGATTCTTTCTTTTCTGTTGTAAGTATGAACCTGAAATTTTAATGCATGTTCACAACTTAGACCTGAAAAATGAAGAGCCATTGGGCTTTGAACAAGTTCAAGTGGATGTGTGTGACAAGCCTGAAGCAGAAATATAGGGAAGGTATTATTTGTGAACTCAGAGTTGCTCTGAGTGTCATTTTTTTAGCAGAGTGCTCGGTAAGGATTTAGTTTTCCTGGGACAGACAAGTGCCCCCATTTGGACTGCACATGGCATATTTGTGTAGTGTTATGCCTCATGCAGCAAACAGTGGGATATTAGAGAAAAAGCATCTTTTGAAAACAAAGAATTCTGAGGGTCCCTTTTAAAAAGCACGTGTTGAAGGTTCTTAATGTTAGAAGCTGAAAACTTGTGGAATTCCTAATGGTATTATTAAGCACAGGCAGCCTGCTGGCCTGCCAAAGCAATTAGTTAAGTGTGTGTCTCTTCATTAAGTCAAAGAAGCGGAAGGAAAGAGAGCTGATTTTTTGCCTCTAGCAAAACGTATTTTTTTTTCACTGTTGTTTTAGCAGCACATCAGCATTTACATAACAAATTGTGTGATATAGATTCTGTTGCCTCTTGTTAGGCTGTTGTCAATTGGGCTAATTTGGAAATGGGGCTGTCTTTGCAATGAGAAACAGCCATCTGCTTTCTTACTAAGAAGAGGCCTTAGATCTAACCCCCTGATTTACTCCTGTAAAGCCTCTTAGAAGAATATTTCTAGAATCCTAGAACAGGTATGCACCTGAGTACAACACATTTCACAAATGACACTTAAATCAGTTATGTCATCAAAGAGAGCTGTTTTGGGAAGTCAAGAGCATAACTTAGAACATTATGCTGTAAATATCTTCATCTAACTGTTGAATTGCTGCAACTGTATGAATTGTATTTGATTTTGTTAAAACTATTTAGGAAATTGACTGAAAACATGTCAATCATAAACCACTGTTTTTAAATTGTGTACTTAAAAAGTTCTTTTTTTAACTCTAGAAGAAGAAAACAAAAGTATAAACTTTTGTTAAATCAAACTCTCGTAAGGTGTAGCATTTGTGAATCTTTCTTTCCTTTTCCTTTTTTCTCTCTTTTCTGTTTCCAGGTTCTCACATATAGTTAATACTGATTATTTGGATTTTTTTTAATCCTACCTCTAAGTTCAAGAATACATGCAGTTAACCAGACGATGTGCGTAAGAGAGCAGAACCATCAGATAATAAGTTCGTATCAGACTCAGTTTTACAACCCTTATGACAAAGAAGATGTTTACAGACTAACTCATTTTTTACAAATATATGAAAATAGGAAAAAATGGGTTTGAAAGTAGGAAAGTTTAGTACACTCAAGTCAATGCAAGGTCATGCTTCCTATTTCATGTCTCATAGGATAAAACCCAAACTTTTTTTTTACAGGACTTATTACACCAATAATTCTTGCAGAAGGCCATGTAAGAGAAAGACAGTCATTGCAGGCGGAAATTTCTGGGTTGCATAAGATTTAAGGTGGGTGTGTTTTCAGCCAAATCTGCCTGAGCCCCAAAAGCCCAAGAAAGATCATGCTTCTGCTTCTTAAGGAGGAGAACAGCCTTCCAAAGGCATCACTCTGCTGCTCTATAAGAAGTAAAGAGATTCCTGGTCCTTGCCTCTACAAATGGCAAAAGTTTCAAAAAGGGCTGCCACAGGGTGTTAATTTCTGGTCTATCCCAGCACCTTAAATTGCCTTTTCCTCATTCAAGATCCATAAGAAATTCCCTGTGCTGGGTAGCTATGGGGCTGAGGTCTACACATACGAAGTCTTTGTTTCTTTTGGACAGAAGATTCTTAATGCAGGCATAAAGCCCACATGTGTATCAGTCTTCGGTCAAAAGAGAGGCAGCACTCATACTCAGAAAGGTTCATACTTTTAAATAATCTACGTTGTGTTAATGCTAACAATCTCAATTTAGAGAGTCACGGTTACTAGTTACCATTTTTTCATTTTACCTGTGTGGCTGCATGTTCTGAGGGCATTTCGGTGCAGGCAGATTGAGAATGAGCCTTTAGTTACCAAGTAGCCTCAATTTCCAGTATTCAGCCATAGCCTGGCTTGAGGAATGCCACTCTCCTCGGTGGACCACAGCTCATCACACTGGCTGCAGGAAATCACAGAATCAGAATGGGTAAAGTTGGAAAGGACCACAGGGGGTCATCTGGTCCAACCTGCCTGCTCAAGCAGAGTCTCCCAGAGCACATGGCACAGGATTGTGTCCAGATGTTTCTTGAATATCTCCAGTGAGAAAGATTCCACAACCTCTCTGGGCAACATGTTTCAGTGCATAATCACTTGCATAGTAAAGAAGTTATTGCTCATATTCAGGTGGAACTTCCTGTGTATCAGTTTCTGCCTGTTGCCTCTTGTCCTATTGGTTGGTACCACCAAGAAGAGCCTGGCTCCATCCCCTTTTGAGGATACTTACTGAAAGTATCAGGAATACTTTTAGATACTTACTGATAAAATCAAAATACAAGTAACCGTAGCCTGAGCTAAATAGCAGGTAGAGGTAGAGATTATCTTCCAAAGACATGGAGTAGCTTGTGGTACATCACTGTGAAGAGTTTGGGTAAAACCTCTCATTTTCTGGAACTATGTAAAGAAAAAGTATCTCCCCTTTGCCCCTGGACCATTACGCACAAAGCATCTAGCTGGCTGAAACTTCACTTTCCTCCAGGAGCAATATTGCAGAGAATTGTATCTTCTCTAGTGTACAAAATTGCTCTGACAGCTTATCACTGCTTGTTTAACAGCTGACTGTTCTCACTTTCTTTAGGCGCTGGATAATAAGCACAGTGAAACAATTATTGTGCTCCATTGATGCGCTAACCCTCACAGCCTCTTTGCTGTTGAGTTCCAAAAACCGGCTTCATTCACTCTTAATTGAGGTTTGTCTTCCAGAGCTTCTGAAGGATGATGATTCTTCAATCATAGCAGCCACAATTATATTCACTGAGTCATGGACAGTTATTTTCAAGAGACCTACCTATAATGCTTTGGGATAAGTTAAAGGTGATGGCTAAATCTCTTCATTTTATCAAAATTTTGTGCATAGAAGTGTAGGACTGGAAAAAAACAAAACAAAACTGCTGGATCAGGGTGCAGTCTTCTCTAGCTGCAGAAAACAAAGCAATAGACATTAATTTCAGGATTGGAGAATACCTCCTTCATCTCTCTCCACATACCAAGGCCCACAGGGCCAACTTCCTGTCAAGCTTTGAAAACTTTAAAATTTTGGTAAAAGATGAAAAGCCACAGTGATAGTTGGACTACAAGAAGATCTTAAGAGAGATCAAGAGTACCACCAGTGTCTTAGATACTTTCAAAGATAAAGACTGAACTCCTCAAAAAATAATCTTCCACTGTGTTTACTGTTGTGGGGTTTGGTGGTCCATATTAATTCTCCATTCCTTGGGTTTATTTAAGGTAAAGCAGAATGTCAACCTCTTTTCAGTTACCTCAAGAAACAGATAACATGAAGTTTCATTTCCCTCAGGTCTCCTTTAATTCTGTTTAATAGACCTAAAGCTGTCCAACAATGGTTTGCCATATCCTGGGCTGCATCATTTTTAGCAGAACTCTCTTCCAGCTCATGTTCATGAGCTCAAAAATGTAAGTCACAGACATCCTAACTGAGGATGCAGGTTGCTCTATAATTAATCCTGGAAGGGGCACCAGGAAGCCAAATAGAATCCATCAATCTAAATTTAGTTGTTAAAAGTCTGGAAAAATACCTCATACTTTTAGAGTTCCATGAGAATTATCTGCTCAGCCCTGGAAGTAGTTTTAGGAAAAGGCTGAGTTTACTTGAAATGCAACTCAAACACACTTGAATCCTTCAACAGCCACTTCAAAATAGAGAAGGCTCTTGGCACTGTATCTGATGGAGCAGAAGGTCTGTGCTGAACCTCGCTTGTAGGCAACCCTGTGTGCTACTGCTCTCTACTTGTGGGAACTGCACTCTGTTGTGCAACCAAAACACCTGCCTAAGTGGTCAGCTGGATCTTCCTCATTGCAAGACTCTTTTCTGCTACATAGGGTGGCAGTGTTGGCTGTGCTTTCTGGGAGGACCTATTTTGGGAACAGCCATGCTCCAGGAAGCCGCTGGGACTTACCGGCCCCTGGGAGGATGCCGAGAGCAGATAAAATTGAAACAGCTTGCAAGGAGTTCTGTGGCACTGCTGAGAACCTGGCTCAGATTATCACCTGGACTCAGCTTGGCCTTGTGGAATCTATCTTTGGAAGCAGTGGCGGCAGTGCTGGAGTCAGTGTTGTGCAGCTACGAAGGGTAAGCAACGTGTGTGTTTATTTTAAGATTGCCAACAAGAGCAAAGTCCATCTGACTTCTTTAGTTGGAACATGCAGCTGGACCCAAGGGAAGTCAGGCACTGCAGCAGACAATGGAAAGCTGCTAGAGGAAAAAAAACCCCAAAACGTTAGGGTGCTTTTCCACTTTTTTTATTCTATTAGAATTATGGAATGGCTTGGGTTGGAAGGGACATTAAAGATTACAGTTCCAACACCCCTGCCATGGGCAGGGACATCTTCACCAGGTATCCAGATTGCTCAGAGCTCCATCCAGCCTGGCCTTGAACACTTCCAGGGCTGCAGCACCCACAACTTCTTTGGGCAACCTGTGCCTCACTACCCTCACAGTCAGTATTATGCTTACCAACTGCAAACATGGATGGCATGGCTAGTTAATCTTCTTGCCTGGGAGCAGAAGAGGTTAACCTGGGGAGTTTAGAGGTAGCAGTGTGTGTGAAGCCTTAGTTACATGGCTTGACTCCCTAATCCATTGCTGTTAAAATTTTTCTGGTTAGTTTGTTTGCTTTTCAGCAGAAATTTATCAGTTTATTTACACAGGTATGTTAAAATATTATTTTGTTTAATTTAAAACAAACAAACCCAAAAATACTTCCCCTCGCAAAAAAAAAAAAAAAAAAAAAAAAAAAAAAAGAAAAAAAGGAACTTCCAAACCCTAAAACTAAAAATCCCTGGGTTTTTTCAGTTGCTTGTTATGAAAAAGATTCCCAACAGCACAGCTTCAAGCAGTAGGAAAGTCATATTGCCAATCAACAAGCAATGCATGTAATCATTATGGAGCCATCTACCAGCATCTCTTTCCTAAAAAGCCCTGTCAAATTTAGCATTCTTACAAGAGCCTTGGAACACCAGTGCTTGTCTTGTGTTCTGCTGACCTTTCTTCAATCCAAAAATAGCTGTTCTTACCCCACTGAACTTTCTACAAACAGAAAGACATTTGATGCCAGTTACATTTGAAGAAAATAAACTATATTTAAAGCTATTAGTCAGTATCACAGATAGTTCCTGTTGTCCCCCATACCCCTGGGATTGTTTGCCCTTTTTAAATGGAATAGGTTTGGATAGAGTATGTTTCTCTGGCATGGTTGTTCTGAAGGGGCCTCCCACAGATGCTATTTAACATATCCTCTGTTAATTCAAGGGGAGGTCAGTGTATTTTATCTGTTCATCTAGATGGAGCTGTCAAAGTGGATTTGGAGCTGGATTTGAAGATTGGTTTAAATTTGTAAATTTAAAAGTGGAGAAGTATGCCCACAGGTGAGTCTTAAAGCAACCACTCTTATACCAAGCTCGTTTATCCTTTTTTAAAAATAAAATTTGATTGTGCATTTTTTATAATAGACTTTGGATAATGCTTTTGGTTTTGTTTAGGGTTTATGTGTGGAGTGTCAATGTTTAGTCTGCATGTTCTCCCCAAAATTACAAAACCCTGAAATTCTCCACAAAAAATCATACAACACAAATGTGATTTTGAAAAGCAATTCAATTCCTTCTGTCCTCTCTCAGTTTTTTTTATTGGGTAATGTAATATGGACATTGTTTCCTTCCATCTTAAACCCTTAAAGTAGTCACCTGTTTGTAGTGTGTCTGTGTGTATATATGCATACTTACATAATTATAATAGAATGTGTAAGAAATCAACCTTGGGTTCAAAATGGTGTGCTTTGCATTTATACTCAAATGCTTTGTTTTGTCAGGTTCCCCAAGGTTGCCCCAAACAAATGTCTGAGGGCATCTCAAAGTTGGCAAAATAATCAGCTCTGACCAGTTTATTTCCATTCCTGATTACTTACTTTTTCCCATGAGAAAATCCTTTTGGATAGCATGTTTAACTTGTGGAAGGGAATGGAAGCTCTGTTCCTGCAAAATATGAAGGTTCCCTGACTTGCTATTCTTGTTTCATGCCCACTACAACCTATTATAGATGCATGTATGTTTTTTTTTTTTGTTTTCTTTCCTGGCAGGTTTCCAATAAAAAAAAAGGAGACGTCACTTTTGGTACATCCTCTGGTCTAAAAGACTCTTGGCATCAACGAAATAAAGCTGAATGGTACATAGTGTCCCAGCACAGGATGAAGCTGTGATAATTAACTTTTAAAGCTTTAAAACTTCATTGACTTGTGGGGTTTGTTCCTTTTTTCTTTCCTTTTTTTTGGTTGTTTGGTTTTTTGTTTTGTTTTGTTGTTTTTTTTTAGTTTTGTTTCTCCTTTCTTTGTCCATCTTTAGTGACTGGGAAATGACCTGGCGTAAGGCACCTTAAAGTAAGTTTTTTCTAAATTTCCAGCTTCGGTGCTTTCTGCTGCACTTTAAGTCCTTCTCTCACATACAAATGGTGCATCCCTCAGTGTATCTGAGTGCTTAGTCCCTTTTTCTGCAAGTTGAACATCTTTCCTAGAGTGGCTCTTAGTCCATTTGCTCATGAAGCCATTCAGGGTGTAGTGCAGCCAGACAGGATAGCATTGGGACTCTCTGTTCACCTTAGCATGTAGTGAGGTCAGGGAAAGGAAAGGAGGAAGAACAACTATCATAAAGCATTAAAATGGTAAATAGTTTGGGTTTTCTGTTTGCCAAAGCCCAATGAAAAATGTGTTTCTGCTGGATAAAGACAAACTCTGTTGAGATCATAGGACCCTCACTGTTGCTCCCAAGGTTCTGTGTTTTACCCCAGCATGTCTGGCAGGTTCCTAGAGAGCATATGGCCATAAATGCAGGCCCATTCTAAAAATGCCAACACCTAATGCATGTTGGGGTGCACCTGGCTGTGTGTATATGCACCTTTGAGAGTGTCTGTGTTGCTGGGGTGAGCCAGGGTTTCCCCCAGCCATCCCAGTGACATCTCTGGGGACACTGAGCACAAAGATGGGGAACTGTCCCTGCAGCCTCCCCCCGTGCCGCAGAGCTGAGTGGCAGCTCCAGTGCGTGCACATCTATAGAGCCTTGTAAAAGGAGACTCTGTGTGCTGGATGGTGTCAGGCGGCATCTCCAGAGGTATCCAGTGGAACTGGAAAGTAGCCTTGTGTGTATTAATGACCAGCTGCAGCGTGTAGTCTGCTTTAGCTTTGTCTGTGACTGGATGTACTCTCTGCTGAGGGCTGCCTCCTCCGGAGAATGATGTCGCTTATCTTGGTTTTGCAACTTCAGTAAATCTTTTGCTGTCTTTTGTACTATGTTGGGACATGTGGGGTTTTCCAGTGTGATACACTTTCGTGTATCACAAACAAACAGTGTTCTCAGAGAACTGCAAGAGAAGTGTAGGGAACAAAACAAAGATCTCTATGTAACCTTTGTTGATCTCACCAAGACTTTTGATATCGTGAGCAGAAAAGGTCTATGGCAGATTTTGGAACGCTTAGGTTGTCCCACAAGTTCCTTAAGATGATCATCTCACTCCATGAGGATCAACACAGCCAAGTCAGATATGGCAATTGGGAGGTCTGGAGACACACTATTTATAACGCTGCTGATGCTTTCGAGAAAGCACGCAGGATCACTCTCGAGGAGAAAAGACAACGCAGAAAGAATCGTTCCTTGCTGAATATACCACCTAAGGAGTCTTTCTGCTGTGCCTTTTGCAATCGGACATGTCTGTCTCGTATTGGCCTTTTTAGCCACCAGTGTGCTTGTAACAAACGTGGGTAGAGCCCTTCCCAAATCTTTGTTCACGAAGCCCAGGCATGATGATGATACTTTTGTGCATGTTGGTTGTGCCTGTACTGTCGCAGAAATTTTTGATTAATGTATCATGCGTATGCCAAATATCTACCTCTTGAAGATGATATACTGAGAAGGAAAGATGCAAAATCAATTTGGGATATAGGATGTCCCAGGCTTATTTGCTTAGAGTGAATTTATTTATGTCTAATCCCACTGGTGTCAGAAGTTCTGCTTTCAGTCTTCACCCCATACTGAAATTAAAAGCCTTGGCACTCATCAGTGCCAAGAAATAAATAACTGACCGAGGTTCTCTCTTCAAAGCTGTCCCAAGTGAAGTTTTTTGCATGATTATTTTTGTTTTATTTGCATCTGTGACTGGAACCAGTTCCTGCCAGTGTCATGGCTGAATAGCAGCCTGTGCTTTAGGGAGTCTTCCATAAATTGCATGGGACAAGTTCAAGCCAGGAGTCACAAGGGTAACAATAAACACATGAAGGTTTCACACAGATCAGCTTCTTGAAGATGCTGTACACACTATCGCTCTCTGAGAAGGAATGACTATGTTAAGCACATCTTTCAATCTGCTTCTCTGCTTTAAGATGCCCTGGCAAATTCTGCAACAGGGGCTAAACAAGTGGGGAAAACAATCACCTGGAAAGGAAATCTCTGGGAACTGGTTTTGAGACAGGCATAAGTGACATCACAGAAATTATGCTTCTTTCAACAAAGCAGTACTTTCAGGGAGTCTTTTCTAAAGTCAGGGCAGGATTCATCTCTGTGATAACCCACAATTGCTGAATTGACGTGTGAATAGTTGAAATAACCAAGAAGCTCTCTGTGAAAAACATGTGGGCATCTAATGTCTGGGTGGCACACCCTGAGTGAAGGTGCTGCATTACTGGGCTGTGCATTACTGGAGAGAAGGGGAGAAATGACTCCTTGTTTTCTGAGCATGGCTTCTTGGTAATGGTTTTCCTTCTCATAAAGCCTTCCTTTTGACTAGAAGTTGGATATTTTTAACATCATTCTTTTAATGTGCTTTTGATGGGTAAGAACAAAGGGAAAAAAACACTCTTCATGTGCTACAAAAAGACCAGGTGCATTTCCACTGCATTTTAGAAGAGCACCATGGAAGTTCCTCCTCAAACAACTAGCGTGCTGTGGTTCAGCCCTTGCACCAGCCTGCTCCACACTGCTGTTCAGCAGTGTCCCATCAGCTGTGTGCAACTCTCTTTCATTGGATGTTGCTTCTGCAGCCAACAGGAGGAGCAGGAAACTGCTTCTGAATTAGAGCCAGGAGTCACTTGTAAAATACTCCTTTGGCCACCTCATGAAGGGCTTGCAGCACCTCAGGGGTGTTAATTCAGCACCTGGCAAGCTTTGGGCTTCTTACAAAACCGAAGGAGAATGGATAATCATCCTCTCTTTCTCTGAGAAGAGCAGAGTGAAACACAAGAGGTGAAATGTTCTGATAATGACAATCAGGCCCTGCCAGCACTTCACAGTCAGAAAGCAGTGGCTTCTGGAGGGCTGCCAGGCATTTCTCAGTGACAGGCAGGAGCCTGTGTGTGCTGTGTGGGGCATGCACCGTGAGCTGGCAGCATCCAGGAGCCTTTGGCATGCCAGCAGGCACACTGCACATAAACTGGGCCTGGAAGCCCCATGATGGCACAGACCAAGGAACTTCAAAGCAGCAGTGAGTGAAGGCTGCCAGCCAGGGCTTTGCTAGGTTGCACCCAGAATGCAGATAACACATGAATCCTGCTTGAGGACTGTCTCTGCTTGGTGCTCAACTGTGCTGTGAGGAGTTTGGGTTGATGTGGCAGAGAGTATTTTTCTTGTCTTTGGATTTGCAGGGTAGAGACACCTTTATCTCCTCCTTCCTCGAAGTATAGGTTGTAGTTGTCTCCCTTTCTGAAGCAAAGGCTGGTGATAATCATGTATTACCATCATGGGTACTCAGCGTTGATCCACAGCTGCAGCGGAGACAAAACTGCATTTTTTTCTTTTGAGAGGAAGAGAAAAGGCTCACTTAGGATTTGATGTTGCCTACTAGGACAGGAATTGGAATGGATTCCATGTGAGGTATCCCATCTTAACTTTACTGCAGCCCAGTCTGCCCTCATAAACAGACAGGATTTAAGAGACATATATAAACAGTAGCCCTCAATTTGTGTATAGCTGAGCAGCAAGCTCAACCAGGTTAGGCATTGGGACAACCTTTCTGAGTGGCCAAGAGGGGGAATCACAGAATCATTTAGGTTGGAAAAGACCTCTCAGATCAATGAGTCTGATCTTTGACTGATTACCACCTTGTCGACTAGACCATGACACTAAGAGCCACATCCAGTCATTGCTTGAACACCTCCAGGGATGGTGACTCCACCACTTCCCTGGGCAGTCCATTCCAATGTTTAACGACCCTTTCAGTGAAGAAATTCCTCCTGATGTCCAACCTGAACATATCCTGGAGCAGCTTGAGGCTATGCCCTCTAGTCTTGTCATTAGTTGCCTGGGACAAGAGGATGACCTCCACCTGGCTACAACCTCCTTTCAGGTAGTTGTAGAGAATGATAAGGTCACATCTGAGCCTCCCTTTCAAGAAAAACAGAATCCATACAGGGCTGTACAGGTACTGGGAGGGGCTTTGCTGTTGAAGATTTTCAAGGATGAGTTGGACAAACCTTGCCCAGAAAGTTGGGGGGGGGTTGTTGTTGTTTGGGGTCTTTTGTCTGTTTGTGGGAGGGTTTTGTTGTGGTTTTTTTTGATTGTTTGCTTTTTGAGTTTGGGGGCTTTTTGCATTGGATTGCTGCTTTAATCTGTAAATTCTCCCTAGAAGTGTAAGTGCAGAAAGGTGTTTAAAACATTGTGGCCCATAGGTTCAGACTCTTGCATAATCGATCTGGCATTTTAAGTCATGAGCAACAAATGCTAATTTCTGCCTATTGCTGCAATGGATAACTTTGGATAGGAAAGTCTGTACAAAGAATAGACAGGCTAAAAGAAATTTAAATTGCTATTAAACTCTCTTTGCACTTTCTGGAATAAACAAAGCAAACAAACAACCACAAAGAAAAAAACAATCTGGGACATCTGTAATCTGTGCACACAATGAAAAGCTGAATTGGGCTCACATATCCATAGAACATAACAAACTTGTGTTGCTTCAGTTATCATTTATACTTTTCAAAATTCACAGTGCAATATGGTACATTTTTACCCTCAATTTCTACTGGAAATTGCTTTTAGAGTGACTTATTCCTTATTTGTTCTTTTTCGTGATTCCTGACACATTCCACATTTCAGTAGCTCTTAATTTTAATATGCATAACCTTAATCACTGGCCTTTCTAGTCATCATGTCTGAACTGTTAAAGTTAAGGGTTTGTAAGGGTTAAAGTTAAGGGTTTGTAAGAAGCTATACATCCAGCATCTCTAAGAATAAGACATGAAACTGAAG